GTAGTAGTGGTGGTAGTAGTAGTAGTGGTAGTAGTAGTAGTAGTCGTCGTCGTCGTGGTAGTTTTGGTACCGTAGTAGTCGTAGTAGTAGTGGCAGTAGTGGTAGTAGCAGCAGTACTAGTAGTAGCAGTAGTAGTAGCAGTAGTAGTAGTCGTGGTAGTGGTAGTAGTAGTCGTCGTAGTAGTAGTAGGAGTAGTAGTAGTAGTAGTAGTAGCGGTAGTAGTAGTGGTAGGAGTAGCAGTAGTGGTAGTAGTAGTGGTAGTAGGAGTGGTAGTAGTAGTAGTAGTAGTGCGCAGGCGGAGGAGAAGGAGGAGTAGTAGTAGTAGTACCGTAGTAGTACCGTAGTATATACCTGCATAAATATTGGATTCTGGGCTGGAACTTAGGTCTCCTATGCCAAAGGTTTAGGCCCGAAATTTCGCACATTGTCACATCGTCGTGTTTAAACACATTGTGGCCACGCAATCGCTTGTGCACTGTGTACTGGCCAAGGAGAACCCCACAATCATGTCCTAGATCAAAGGCCCTCTCAGTTTTTCTAAAGAGGCTAACGCAACCCGTAAACACTACACTGCAGGTTAACAAACTTCGGATTTGCTGGCTGCCTGGCCGGCCGGTGCTCCAAACGACTGGAGTTTCTCCTCTAGCTTGGTCCTCCTGTGGCCATAAAGCGGGTTTTCCAGGTAGCAGAGGTGGGCCCACCGACATTTCCGAGCCCATGACGAGGCCATGCATTTCCCAGTCACTTCAGTGTGCTCGATGTGCGTCACGCCCTGAATTACTCATATTGACCCAATACTATCACTTTATTTCTTTGGATAGCAAGGTCTTATCTGAAGGCCCTCCTGGCCGGTCGGAAGGGCTGGGCTTTGTATGGTACATGGTAGCGCGCTGGTTACCAACGCCATTGGTGTTGAACCCAATTGTTCAGGGTTTCGGTCGCTTGTCGAATCAAATAATATGGGCGGTATTGGCAAACCCCATGTCTTCGAAGTGCTCGATCATGGCGTCCATAGCAATCAGGCCTGCTAGGGCATCGGATCCCAGTTGAATTGCCATTCTGTATCGGTAGAGGTCTGCTTGAAATTGCACCAAGTCAGGTTGCTGCATGGGTGGTGGGCGGGCCAATTTTGCCAGACAAAGAAAAGCGGAAACCCACCCTCCACTACCCTGGAACCAACCTTAACGAAACGTGAGAGGTATGTTTGAATGAATGCAAGCTTGTTTTCCATCACTGCAAAACAAGGAAGCTCTTAAGAAATAAATAGTTTGTTGACTTCGCCAACTGCCCATATTATTTCTTTCTCGCACCATTCATTACAAACATGACAGTCAACTCAAATCAGCGCACAAAAGAAAAGCTCAGCAGCTTCTTTTCGAACGGGGGATAGCAAGGTCTTATCTGAAGGCCCTCCTGGCCTCCCCCTTCTTTGGGCCTTCTCAAAGACCGCTCTTATCTAACCACATGTCTTCGAAGCTTGGAAGCCTAGCCCTCAAGGCCTCGGGCAGCATTTCATGCGGGGTCGACTAGAAGGAAAGTCGGCCAAGTTGCATTCTGTTGGAACTCTAGCATACCACGCAACGTGTTTGCAGGCCAGCATTCTTCCCCAAAGGTGAAGCGCCACCAACACTGCAAAGGACTCTAACTTGCCGATTGCCTGCTTCTGCTCCTCAGCCATGAACGACTCACAGAAATCTTTGGTGACCGAGTCTCCGAACCACTGCTCAACAGTAGCGTTGCCGTTGACTAGAACACCTCGGATTCCTCCGCTCTTGGTTTCACTGTTGAAGCTAGCATCGGTGAAGATGTAGTACACCTCGCTTGTGTCTGAGTCAGCCATTCGTGGTGCAGCGGTGAGCACTTGATCCGCCACCATCTCCAAAGCTCGCCTTGTCGGTTCTGAGATCTTGTTGTTCTTTGGGCGGCGGAGTGCACGCTGTCCAAGTTCGTTGATGAGTCTTCTCGTCGCTCGTCCGAACAACTGCCCCTCAGCAAAGCCCAATCTCCCCTTCAGGGATGCAGCACCATGACTGGTAAGCTCGCCCTCATCTCAACATTTGGCAATCTGCGCACAAACATCTTTCTTTCTCTTCTCGGTATTCTGGACCTGGACAACGCCTTCAGACGACTTTCCCAGGTCCACAATGACAGGGCTGAGATGCTAGCTCCCATCGCCGACGACTTTTCGCCTAGCAGGTCGAGCAGAGTTTCAAAAGTCAGCTCACTGCTTCTGCTCAAGGCTGGGGTGGACAAACATATGAAGTCATCGAAGTAGCACGAAGTCACCAAGTCTAGCTTCAGGCATATCCACTGCAGCCTTCGAGCGCATCTGAGGAAGGCAACCACGCTGCTCTTCGCCTGAAAGGGGAG